ATGAGCGTTTTTACATGTTAAAGTCTACATTTATATATATGAAGTATTTCCTTTAGTAATTTATAATATTTTATACACGGATAATTATTTATATATAATTTTTCCTTTATGTTGTAGTGAGCTTTTAAAATTATATAAATAGGTTACTGATGAATTTTATTTCAAGATAGTAAAAAGGGCATTACAATGTTTTTTTTAAAAGGCTGCGTCCCACAGCTCACAGCTATACACTTTTCCTTCTTTTCATATTCTGCACAGTGGTTCATACCCTGAAGGCACTTTTTTTTTATATCACACAGACATTTAAGTGTTTCCCACCAGTCCTGCCATGGGCATCGCAGGCCCTGCCCCAACCTCGCCTGCATCGTCGTGTGGATCTTGCCCTGAGTGGAGGGACCGCCAGGCTGAATAAAAACAGAGCTCTGGACCTGGCCATTTCTAAGTCGGGGAGGGTGTGTGATGACAAACAACAGAGAGCAAGTCGGGCTAACTTCAGCAGGCAAGGAATGCAGGGGGTTCAGCAGTAGCTCACAGATGGACAGGAGTGTGGGAGAACCCGGATGGAGGGGAGAGCGGGAGCCCGGGGACGCGGAGGTGAACAGCAGAGGAAGAGGCCGCCAGACCCGGCTGCGCAGGAGGTCGGCAGGGAGGCTGCCGGACGCCGCGGGGCGGGGCGCCACTCCTGACCCTCGACTCTGCTGACCCGGAAGCAGACATCTGTGCCCCGCACCCTCCGGGTCACAACCCCTCAGTGAGGACCTCTGATTGGAGGAGCCTGTGTCACACGTTAGTGCCCTGGCTGCCGTTGAAGAAGAGAGGGGACAAGTCGCAACCCCACCCCAACCCCCAGCCTGCAGAGTGAAATACCTCCCACTCCCCCGTATTTTCTTAGGAAGCGGGAACCAACCTCCATTCGGGAAGGAATTAACAGGCAAGGGAAGGCTGAAGTGTTGTCTCTCTCCTTTAGAGTTGTTCTTTCTTTCCTTCCCATCAACCTTTACAAGTAGGTAGAAAATACTCTGTGAGCTGTGGAGAGCAGGGAATGGAGAATGTGGTGGGCTGAATAATAGCCCACCGAAGTCTGAATAATAGCAGATCCGAACTCTTGACACCTGTAAATGTTGCCTTCTAAGGAATAGGGGTCTTTGCAGATGGGATTAAGTCAAGGCTCTTGCCGTGGAGAAGTTATCCCGGGATAGCCAGGAGGGCCCTGAATGCCATCACAGGAGAGACACGGGGGCGATGGTCTGACTGCAGAGGCTGGGGTGATAAGTGCACGATTCAAGGAAGGCCACCAGCCCCCAGGGAAAGGCTACCCACTCCAGTGTCCTGGCCTGGAGAGTTCCACCGACTGAAAGTCCATGGGCTCGCAAAGAGTTGGACACGACAGAGCAATGTTCACTTCGCCGGCCACCAGAGGCTGGAAGAGGCAAGATTCTAAGAACCCGCTGCTATCACCTCCTGCTGACACCTCCATTTCCAGCAGAAGGTACTGATTTCAGACTTCTGCTCTCCAGAAAGGAGAGAATGTATTCCCGTTGATTTCAGCCTCCGAGTTTGTGGTAATTTGCTACAGCAGCTACAGGAAACTCATGCAGAATTTCAAGAAGATACGAAAGTATTTGTGTCTCTAAAACACATACTCATATCTTTTTTTAAAAAATGGAAGCAAAGGAGAGAGAAAAGAAAGGAAAAGAAGAGGAGAAGGCAAAAACCAAGCCAGGCAGTTGATGAGCCAGTGAATACAGCATTAGTCATCTATCACACAAAGGCATGAAACTCAAAGAAATTAATCCTGAAAGGCATTTGTCTTTTGAAAATATTGATAAATTCAGGATTAGAATGGAACAGGCTGCGTAATATGGGCAAACATAATACCTCTGTGAATCCATCTAAATAAGCTACATAATCTCCTGACAAAGGAGCAGCAGGTACTATAAGAAGTTTGAATTTCTTTCCTCCTGAGATAATTTTTTGAAGAGAAAGAGCGGAATGCAGGCTAAATAAACTGGATGACTCAGGAAATGAATTTGTTTTCAGATAATTGCTTCCTAACGCAGCGATGATGTGACTGTTAGTCACTTCAATAGCAGTTCCATGTAGACAGCAAATAAAACAGAACACAAAGTCCGCCCCACCCACGGCGATTACTCTGGTGGGAAAGCCCACGGAATAGACGTGGAGAGGCCCTTTTGTCGAGCGGTGCTGTGAGAAACCCTGAGCCTGGCGCGGATGGAACCGCTCCAGACGTCGTCTTCCTGTTGTGTCTTGTTGCTATTGTGAAAGACGCGCTAAGATAAAGCAGATGTCCATCTGGAGAGAAGGGAGCCAATAGTGTGACGTCACTGGCAGCCAATCAGAAGCCCTGCTTTCAGCCTCGCAGGGACTAGCCCAGCAACAGGTCTCCGGCCCTGCAAGGCCTTTGTCTCCAGTCAGAAAGGGGGGAACAGAGTCAGAAAGGACTCCGAGCCTGCTTCTAATCAGATGTGTACATAAGACATGCCCCATTCAAGAATAATGAGGATGAAACACAGGAAAATGTATTATACTGATTTGATACAGGGCTCAAGCACACGTACTTAAGAGTCTGTGGACAGGAACAAATATATTCTTTGCATGAGTTAGCATGTGGTTCCCAGGCTTTGAGAAAGGTGGCTTTAGACATGGGCTTGTTCTGTTGTGGGACTGGTCTGTTTAATCTGTGAATAAATCACCTGTGTGCACAGCTTTGTGCTAAAGCCCAGAGGAATACACATGCATAGGGCTCCTGATCCTAAAGGATTTTTGCAGTCCAGCTGGGAAAATTAAGACAGCCAAGCAACATCAGTATGCAATATAATGGAAGTGAATTGTGTCCTCCTGGCTCTTGCTACTATAGGAGTTTATTCTTTTTTTTTTTTTTTCAATTAATTGTTGTTGTTATTCAGGCATTATGTCATGTCTTTGTGACACCCTTTTTTTGAGTCTTGACTCTTTGAGACTCCATGGACTGCAGCACGCCAGGCTCCTTTGTCCTTCACTATCTCCCGGACTTTGCTCAAATTCATATCCATTGAGTCGGTGATGCTATCTCACCATCTCATCCTCTGCCACCCACTTCTCCTTTTGCCTTCAATCTTTCCCAGCATCAGGGTCTTTTCCAATGAGTAAGCTCTCCTCATCAGGTAGCCAAAGTATTGGTGCTTCAGCTTCAACATCAGTCCTTCCAATGAATATCCAGGGTTTATTTCCTTTAGTATTGACTGGTTTGAATGCCTTCCCTTCAATGAATAGTTATTTTTACTCTTAAACATTTTTATATAATTGTTATAGGTTACTTTCCATTTACAGTTATTACAAAATATTGGCTGTCTTCCCTGTATTGTATGATACATCCTCGAACCCATCTTATACCCAGTAGTCTGTGTCTCCCACTGCCCTGCCCCTGTGTAGACCCCACGCCTCCCCTCCCAGCACTGGTAACCACTGATTTGCTCTCTATATGTGAATCTGCTTCTTTTTTGTTAAATTCATTGGTTTGTTGTATTTTTGAGATTCCACATATAAGTGAAATCATACAGCATTTGCCTTTCTCTGACTTATTTCACTTAGTATAATGCCCTTCAAGTCCATCCATGCTGCAAATGGCAAAATTTTGTCCTTTTTTATGGCTGAGTAGTAGTACTGCATTCATTGTTCCTTATCCATTCATCTGTTGATGGACACAGGATGCTTCCATGTCTTGGCTGTGGTAAATAATGCTGCTGTGAACATTGGGATGCATTCAACTAATAGCTATCGAGTGCCTGTTTGGTGCCAAGCATTCCTCTGGACACTGGGACACAGCAGTGAACAAACCAAACCCTACCTCTGCCTCATTGAGCTTACATCCTAATGTAGAGTTTGGAAGAGTCAGACACATTTTGGGATACTGCTAGACACCATGATGCAATTTATGAGGCTGGAGCTCAGGGGAGAGACCAGGGCCACAGTTCAGAGAGGGGTGACCTCAGTGTGAGCTGGGAATGCTTCAGGGAGCAGGAGGCTTGCATGGGTCCTCAGAGGATGGCCAGAATTTGGAGGGACCACGAAGAGCTGGAGAGACTTTTAGAAGGAGAACAAAATGACCGAGAACACAGGAAGGCAGACACGGAGTGACGGAGCCGGGATGGGGGACGCAGAGGTGAGTTAGTGGAAGAAAGGGGGGAGCGTCGAGCTGGGGAGGACTGGAAGGTTGGGGGAGTTTGGTTTTTTGGTACTTAGAGCAAACATAGGCAGTAAGTGACAGGTGTAACAGTGAGGAGCCAAGTGACACCATGTCTCTGAAGCCACTTTGACTGGTCCTTGTCCAGCAGCCCCAGCCTCTCCTGTTTCACCCCCTACCTCAGTTTCCCCCTTGCATCAGTTTCCTCTTCCTGATCCATTTTCTTCCTCCCATCAATCGTCTTCCTTTTTCCCATCCATGCATTCTTTGAGGTTCCTTTCCTGCCCCTTTACTTATTTATTTAAAAGCCACTCATAAAGCAATTCTTTTACTTATTTTTTAAATTTTTTGACCACACCACTTGGCAAGCAGAATCTTAGTTGCCCAACCAGGGATTGAACCTGCACCCCCTGCAGTCAAACCTCGGAGTCTTAAACACTGGACCACCAGGGAAGTCTTCTTGCCCCATTTATTCTCACCTCCCTACTTCCCATAATGAATGAGAAAAATCAGTAAAACAAAGAGTTATCCTGACCAAAGAACAATGGAAGAGGAAAGGGTTCGTTCTAAAGCATCAACGCTTGACAGAGAATTAGCTTTGTGTTAACTCTCTTAAACTGAGTAAGATCTCGCAAGCCCCTGGGCTTGCCTTTGTGTGTGATATGAAAAAGTGAAAGTCACTCAGTCATGTCTGACTCTCTGACCCCATGGACTGTAGCCCTCCAGACTCCTCTGTCCATGGAATTCTCCAGGCAAGAATACTGGAGTAGGTTGTCATTCCCCTCTCCAGGGGATCTTCCCAACCCAGGAATTGAAGCCAGGTCTCCCACATTGCAGGTGGATTCTTTACCCATCTGAGGTATCAGGAAAGCCCTGTGTATGATATAATCAGATCCTAAAATACAACTTCGGAAATAACTGCTTTTTCAAGAATATATGCTAAGACAATAGAAATAAGAACTTCATTGTTAACTGTGCAGAGGAATGTGAGAGAAAACACATGTGAATTAGCATACTAACGCTTTTAAAGTTGCCTTAACAGTCATAAATTATGTTCTTTGTGTGTACAGTTCAGATAAGTTTGATCTTGTATTATAATGGTGCAGGATGTAGTAGGAAATGCATGTTTCCTCGTGTATTTCTTCTTTTCCTCTAAAAGTAAGGCGAGCTGACTCAAATATATGTGGAAAACATGGAAAATAATAAGGAAGAAAATAGCCGTCAACTATGCCATCATTCAGAGATGACCAGAATGAATCTGTCCTTGCCACACAAAACCAACTTCACTCTCTCAACAGCTGACAACAAACATTAGTGTACTCTTTCCTGGGTCCACGGAGGCTCTGAGTATTCAGCTGGGCTGAGTTGGGCTTGGGTCCAGGCTGAATTGGTTTAAGTCTGATCACCTGCATGTGTGTTTCCTCATGGTCCTCAGACTAGCATCTACCAGGAAGAATTTTTCCCCCATGGAAGATCGCAAGAATTCAAGAGGGTGAGCAGGAAAGCCTGATGCCTGTTGAGGTCTTCAGTTCGTAGTGGAACTGCCACTTACTCCATTGGGCAAAGCAAGTCATCCGTGAGCTGATGTGGCTGGGGCATCATGCCCACCCTACAGCACTGCATGATACATGGCAGGTAAGATGGAGATCGACAGTTATCATACTGGAGTGTTTCCTTCCGGGCCTCTTTATATATACTGTACATGGTTAAACAGTTGTATAAAAATCATCTTACACACGTCGCATTCATCGCCTTTTCCCTGCTTTCTCCACTTCCTCTTTCAGATTCTTCTTCTTCATTTGCACCTGTTTTCTTCCTCTTTCCCATCTGCCTCTTCCATCCCTTGCCCTGAAATTTCCCTTCTTGGTTCCCCCCCACCCCACACCCCGCTGCCCCATATTTTATTCTCCTCCGCCTGGATCCCCTAGTGAATGGAAAAAAAAAACTGAAAAAAATCAAGGAACTGCTTTATTTTTCATTTAGAAGGATAACGTAAGAAATCCGATAACTGAATTCAATAACACAGTGGCAAAATAGAGATCTCATAAATACCTGGTGTATAATAGGCAAGCAGAAGAACCACATTTCAAGGTGAAGTGGGCAGTGGCTTGCCAGTATTAGCACTATTGGTTGTAGAGTTTTCCTTACTTTGTGAGTTAGTGGGTGAATCAATACTGCTCTACAAAGGTAGTGTGTGCATGGGTGCGTGTGCTCAGTCATGTCTGACTCTTCACAGCACCGTGGACTGTAACCCACCAGGCTCCTCTGTCCATGAGATTATCCAGGCAAGAATACTGGAGTGGGTTGCCATTTCCTCCTCCAGGGTATGTTCCTGACTCAGGAATTGAACCCCNGATGCTTGGATGGCATCACCGACTTGATGGACATGAGTTTGAGTAAGCTCTGGGAGTTGGTGATGGACAAGGAAGCCTGGCGTGCTGCAGTCCATGGGGTCGCAAAGAGCTGGACATGAATGAGCGACTGAACTGAACTGAACAAAAGAAGGCAGTTATCTCCAAATAAGGATAGTCATCTTGACCGCTGTTACATATGGGAGATGTTTAAAATAAAGATGTCCCAAAGAAGACTGTACTTGCTAGTGACCAGAGGTAAATAATATACAGATGTGGGTGCCTTAGGCAAATTGCTTAACCAACATCTGACAAGCTAAATTTCTCCATCTGTAAAATGAGGAGGTTGGAATGGATCGCTAACTTGCTGTCATTAAGCATACTGTGTAAAGCAATGTGCCCAACTTGGGGTGTGTCTCAGAGAATGGGCAGGAGACAGTCCTGGACTTCACTCATTCATTCATTCATTTGGTCAGTCAGTCAGTCACAAGGTGGCTCTTACTCCATGACAGGCATTGAGTATACAGCAGTGAACATAATAAATATAGTCCTTGGTCTAACAGTCCCCATTCTGATGAAGGAGACAGCTAGCCAGGCAATTATAAACCAGTAAGATGCATGGTATAAAAGGGAATGTGAGAGATGTGGAAAAAAGAGAGAGAGTTAATACCTCAGACAGGCGCTGTGCTAAGGTAGTCATTTCTCACTTAACCATTCACCCAGTCTTACAGATGAGAAGAGTAAGGGGTTGGATCCTAGCCTTGCAAACCTTAAAGTTCCATGAACTGGCTGTGGATCTTGCAAACATTCAGGTCCCGAGTCAGCAGGTCTGAGCTTCTGTGTGTCTGACAAGATCCCGCTCTGAGGAGCTGGAGCCAGATAGCTTGGGTTACCCTGCTGGTAGGGGTCGGTGTTGGGTCCTCAACTTAGTGGTCTGACCCCAACACCTGTGCCTTTCCCGCCTCTCAGAGATCCTGCCCCAAGAGCTCTTGCTGCTCTAAAATTCTGATTCTCATGCCAGATTAGTTTGAGAAAGGCAAAATAAAATAATAGGAATCAGAGCTTTGGCTTTTCCTGGTGGCCCAGCTACCCGGCAACAGAGGAGTAGTCAGGGGTGTCTGGGCACTTGCTCAGGGCAGGGGAAGCTCGTGGCACCAGGCAGCTTCCGTCACCTGTGTGACACTCAGCAGGGCTCTGAGTGTCCTGGAGGTACTTAAAACACATCCACCGGTGGCCGACTCTAAGACCTGCCCCAGGACTGGGGCAAGTGAACAAAGAAGTTGTCACAAAAATAATAACCACATATTGAGCCCTTAACTGTGTGCCTGGCATTTAATTCTCTCCATAGCCCTATGAGGGCAAGGAGGTAGGGGCAGGGGGGAAGGAGAGAGGCTCCTTGGCCACACAGACCCTCTGGGTCATTTTTCAGTGACCCACCTTTACTCTGCACATAAGGAATGGAGGTGAAAGGGTTAGTTGCTCAGTCGTGTCTGACTCTGCAACCCCATGGACGCGGGATTCTCCAGGCAAGAATACTGGAGTGGGTTGCCATTTCCTTCTCCAGGAGATCTTCCCGACCCAGGGATTGAACCTGAGTCTCCTGCACTGCAGGCAGATTGTTTATTGTCTGAGCAAATAACTTACATGAAGTAACACAGTGAGCAAAGGCAGAACCAGCATGGAGAACCAGGGCCCAGCCTTTATGTAGGCTTGGGGCTTCCCTGGTAGCTCAGCTGGTAAAGAATTCGCCTGCAGTGCAATGCAATGGTTCAATTCCTGGGTCAGGAAGATCCCCTGGAGAAGGGATATGCTGCCCACTCCAGTATTCTTGGGCTTCCCTGGTAGCTCAGATGGTAAAGAATCTGCCTGCAATGCAGGAGACCTGGGTTTGATCCCCGGGACAGGAAGATCTGCTGGGGAAGGGAACAGCTACCCATTCCAGTATTCTGGCCTGGAGAATTCCATGGACAGAGGAGCCTGGTGGACTACATACAGTACATGGGGTCACAAAGAGTTGGACATGACTGAGTGACTTTTACTTTCATGCCCTATGTAGCATTGCTTCCAATTAATCATTCCTGCTGATTAGGAAAAGAACTGCAGCTCTGAGCCAAAAGTTTCCTTTCTACTCCCCCACACAACACACTCCCACCCGCCTTGGTGACTTACAAATACTTTTTGAAAAGAATTGTTTATGTGACCATATGGGAAATGCCTGTCCCTCTTCCTTAACCCAAGTCTGAGAAAATGATGTGGCAACTAGTTAAGAAGATACAGCCCTGGGAACTAGGAACTGATTCATGCTATTAAAACAAGTAGATTCCTCTCTGGTCATTTTAGGCCTCCTATTTGTTCATGATCCATGCCTTCCAGGAACGTGAACTGTCATTTAAGAGAGAATTTATATATATGACAGAATTAGAAATACATCACAGGGATTTTCCTGGTGGTCCAGTGGTTTAGACTGCCTTTGAATGCAGGAGATGCAGGTTCAATTTCTGGATAGGGAACACATGCCCTGCAGGGCAGCCAAAAAAAGAAAGAAATACAGCATAGTATCACATAATACAATACCACCACATAAAGTAGTCAGTCACGTCAAAGGCTTAAATGGTGAGATAATAGTGATGATGATGGAAGACACTCAGTCATGTCTGGCTCTTTGTGACCCCACAGACTATACAGTCCATGGAATTCTCCAGGCCAGAATACTGTAGTGGGTTGCCTTTCCCTTCTCCAGGGGATCTTCCCAATCATTCATTGATCATGATCTATGTGCTTACATTGAATGTCCCCAACAGCCCTCTGGAGGAGGTTATTATTACCTCTGTTTAATAGATGAGGGAACCGATGCTCAGACAGAAAGTCACTGGGCCAAGGCCAGGCAGGCCGAAAGTAGGAAACCTGGATTTGAACCACAAAGCGTGACCCTAGCCCTTACATACCACCTCATGACAACATGCGGTGCTTGACAGCCTCTCTCTGAAACCAACCCTCCACGCAGCACTTGCTGGCAGGGGACAGATGTGCATTGCTTGGAACTGTAGAGAAAGGCCTCGTAAAGAAAACCGTATTTGATGAAACCAATAAATCAACTATCAACTTTATCAACTGTTAAGTCTGTATTAGAATGTTGCAAATAAGCAAAAATGCTTTCGGAGTTGAAATATTCTGCTTCACTAAGAGTTAGCTATCAAAGGATGGCTCTGTGTGTGTGTATGTGTGTGTGTGGTGTGTGTGTGTAGAAATGGAGGGTAGGGAATGCTGGTTGGAGAGAGTGGCATGAGCAAAGCTTTGCCATGAATAAGCTCAGCCTATCTCCAGGAAATTGTGAAAAAGCCAGACTGTCAACAACGGAGAGTTCATTCAGTCATTCAGCACCTACCATATGCCAGGCACTGTGCTAGGTGTTAGGGCTACAAAGCTAAGTAAGACACAACTCCAGGGGACTTCCCTGGTGGTCCAGTGGTTAAGATGCCGTGCTCCCAATGTCAGGGGCCCTGGTTCAATCCCTGGTCAGGGACCTGGATCCCACATGCTGCAACTAAGACCCAGTGCAGTCAAATTCAAACAAAAACACACCCACACAACTTAAGCCTTCAAATGTTTCACAGTTTTAGTTACGGTAGGGGTTTTGTTGGGGAAGGGACAGACAGACAGATGGAACACCAAAACCTGGTAAATGGCTTAAGAACAGTCAGGTAAAGAGCCAAGGGTACCGTTTGCAGAGGGAGGCCTGGTGGGGAAAGGGAGAGAGAAGCTGAGCAAGGACGGTCAGGCCCCTGTAGGCGGTGAGACCCAGAGGGCAAGGAGGTGAACGTGGGGAGGCAGGGTGGGAAGATCCTTGGCCACAGAGGTCTTCTGGGTCATTTTAGCGACCGCCCCCCGGCAACCCCCGCCCAAGCCTGGCCAGACTTCTCTGTTGTACAAACACGCTCAGGCCCTTGAACAGACGCTTTCAGACAAGATCCTTGTGTAAGATTAACATGGCAGCTGTTTTCCGTGTTTTCGGGCAACTTCCAGGAAACACTTATTCACTTTTTTCTTAACTCCTAGTGACCGAGTTGTAGAAAGAAGTAGGAAAAATAGTCATGCTCCTAACATTTCTGCATGAAGTGTTCTTCCACTTCAGGAGTCACCCCATAAGTCTTGGAGCGTCTCCATGTGCCGGGCAGCCTCCAAGGTGCTGAGGATACAGCGGTGAACAAAATCCCTGGCATCATGGAGCTTACGCTCAAGTGGGGGCCACAGTCAGAGGCAAAAACAACACCTAGATGTACGATA